GAAGGACAGGTAAGGGTGCATACGGTCTCCTCATGAATTGCAGCAAAGAAAGAAAACAGGTCAGTCACCAAATGATCTTTCTGAAAAGTGGACTAAACGCAAAGCCTCCCAACGAGAAATAAACATTCAGCATCCGAAGCGTTTCGAACCGGGCCCCTCACTACCGGTCAGTTTGACAGTCGAGCACTCCTACGCTGAGCTACACTGGATGTTGGCTATGACCGGGGCAAAGTCTGGCCGGGCGGGCGGCGGGGCCGGGAGGTCGGCGGCAAAGTCAATTAATGTTTTTGTGGGTTCGGGTGCCGGTCACTCTAGCTTGGTGGAATGATGATGGATCATAGGCAAAATTTACAGCGTGGAGTCCCGGTTCGAGCCTCATCAGGGCTCCGGCTGCTTTTCCGAGTTAGGATGGTTTGGTTGCTATAAGTGGTTACGGTTTTATACATGTCGATTGATTGTTTGATTGATTGATTGATTCATTCATTCATTTAATACGTGCCGACATTTAGCATACGAATTGACATCCAGTATCAATCTACCGTTTTCATAAACGTATTGCCTAAATATCATGCATAGGCACAAGACCTATGGTTGCCTCGATATCGTGCCAAATCACGTTTTGCACAATGCACAAGTAAAGTAAATTATATTCGCTGGGTCTTTCGTGCATTGTGCTTATCAAAAACAGGAATGCCATTGTTAAGCGACGCAAAATGTGCAATACAGGTCCAGGAAGTGACCACACACACCCGACCAGCCCCCATGGTCCACCAACACGCCCCACACCACTCGCCAGCCCACGCCAACCACTGAGACGAGCCCCTCCCCCCGCGCTGGTCTGACGCAACAGCTGGTCTACAAAGCGCTCCACCCGGCGACCCGAGCCGATGTCAAACGGCGTGGGTAGACTGTGCCGCATAACTTTCGGGTCATGCGGCACAGCCTACCGGTACCAGGCGGCTGCTGCCAATGCTGAGCCATAGGAACCCGGTGGATAAAGAGTAGAGGACCATCAACCTGTACACGACTGTACCAGACACTTTCCTGTTCAATGACAATTGTTTTCATGACTCGCCGACAAAGTTCATAAACTCTGCCAAGAAGGAAATATGCGCCTTACACTTACAACCTTAAAAAAAATCGGGCAAATAACTAGGTACTCCCGAAAAGAATGTTGCACCGTACAGCGTACATTTCGCGCCGCTATTTTTCATTCTGCACTTATTCACACAAAATATATTTTTTAATGAGGTTAGTGCTTGTGCGAGGAACATGTTCATAAATAGTAGAAAATGTAAAAACATGACCTTATTATCGAGGAATAATAACTTAATTATCGAGGAAATAAGTTCATGTTTTTACATTTTCTACAAAATATATTTTCACGAAATAACCAAGTCACTGATTGTTATATGGCTGCAATGTCAAATCGTTGCAGATTTTAGTTCTCACCAATCATTTCGCCAATCTACGTCACATCCTCTATCCCCTATCCTCTAGAAAACGGATGACTGATTTTCCCTACGTATAGGTACCTGCCTTCAATTGTTTGTTTGTTTGTTTGTTTGTTTTGTTGGGTTAGGTCCTTTCGGTCTGACAAGACCATTTCAGAGCCGGGAGGATGATAGGATATAGGGGGAGACATTGGTCTGGGCAGGCACCCTAGTGAGTCGCCGGGGCTGAGCCCGTCAGAGGACAGGCCACCCAGCCCCAAGGCACTCACTGCCATAGGTGTCGATTTGTATACTTTTGGGGGTGCCCGGGCACCCCCAATGCTGAGTTGGGCACCCCCCAAGGTGCTCTGGGCACCCCCAACCAAAGTTGGTACTGGCATCACTATCACGGTTCTTTGAGCGCATTATTATTATTTTTTAATTACCTACCGTACATAAGAATGCGTTGTAAAAAAAAAATATGAAGCGATTTTTTTTTTGCTTTGTTTATACCAGAGTCAAGACAGCAGCATTTGGTAGCCATCGTCGCATTCGTACCGCGTCAATGTGGCGGTGTTTCACGGCCGGTAGTAGCGTGCTGAAAGCACACGTGTCAAATTGGGTTTCCATGGAGACGTTGACAAACTCGGACCCTCCAACATAATAGACCCCGCGTTCGATGTCTCTCGGACGACGAAGATTCTATGTCGTCCGGCCAATCCCGTTCAAGGTCAGCGGGGGCTCGGCTGCGGTTGTGGAACGTGATTGGCCGGACGGCGTAGAATCTTCGTCGTCAGAGAGACATCGAACGCGGGGAGAGTTTTCGGTTCCGGACGTCCTTGAGTTTTGTTTTGAGTGGCGGGCTTGGGCGGGGCAGTCTTTTGGTCCGAAAGGCGACGGATCATGGTTTAATCTGGGATTCTGCCTCTGGTGAGAAAGAACTTAAGAAGCATGGACATCAGAAGGTTTTTTACCAAAAGAGTAAGTCATTGGTGTGATATACGACTGCATGATTATTGCTTAGGATTGCATACGATGGCATGATAGGTATTGCCGCTGGCTCTTCTTCCGTTGTTTTATAGTCTAAGAGGCTCTTCTATTTATACTAACCAGAAGAGGCCCCTAGGACTGATGGTCTAACAGGCCCTTCTATTTATACTAGCCAGATGAGGCCCATGATACTGATTGTCTGAGAGGCCCTTATATTCAAACTAGGCAGATGAGGCCCCTGAGAATGATAGTCCGAAGAGCCATGCGGCGGCAACTGGCCGTGGCCATATTTCGGCTCGGTAGGGCCCCACAGAGCTCATGAGAGCACCTCAAGGGCTCCTAAGTAGACACGCTTATCCCCATAAGGGTGCCACGCCGGCTTCTGAAGGCTCCTTGTAGGCATCTAAAGGGCCCTTTCCGGCCTCTAACGGCTCCACCCGCCTGTGATGGCTCCACACCAGTGTTAATGAGCGCCACACAGCGGCGCCTTTGAGGGTCATACTAGTGTCTCTTAGGGCCCTATATCGGTGGCCCTGGGGGCCCCACACCGGCGCCTCTGTGGGCCACCACACCTGTGTATCTCAAGGCTCTATAGGTATATCTGAAGGACCCACACCGACACCTCTGAGGGTCCCACACCAGTATCTCGGAGCTCTGAAGGCCCCACACCGGTGACTCTGATTACTCACCGGCTCCTGAGAGCACCATGTTGATGTCTAACGGCTCCACAAGGCCACTGAAGGCACCACACAAGCTCTCACTAAGCTCTAATGTCCATGTACCGGCCTCTGAGGGATTTAAGCCAGCGCATTCATAGCTCCACACCAGCAATTGTAAGGGCTTCACACTGAAGTATCTGAGGGTTCCACACCGGTGTCTCTAAGGGCCACATACCGGCATCTCTGAGGGCCCCATACCGGCGTCTCCGAGGGTCCACATCTGGGCACCCATCAGCGACTGAAGGTCCCACACTGTCGACTCTGAGAGCCCCATCTGCGTCTGGGAGCAACATGCCGTCTCTAAGAACCACAGCGGCCCCTCCGTACGAAAGATGGGCGCCTGCATGCCAAATGGGAGCGGTTCTGAGACAGTAGGGCACCTACGTGCAATAGAGGGGCGCCTATGAAGCCCATAGGGGCGCCTCAATGCGAAAGAGGGGTGCCTCTGAGGCCTACATATATGGGCGTCCACATGCAATAGAGGTCAGCGACTGCAATTGATCAATACCATGGGGGTGCATTCATAAGAAACAGGGGCGCCGGCATGGCAAAGAGAGGCGCCTTCAAGTGTCCATAAAAGAGAGACGCCTATGATAAGCGCACATTGTATGCGACAACGGGGCGACTGTGGGACATAGGGATGTCTCTGATGACTATACATAGGGCGCTTATATGCCAAAGAGGGCGCCTATGAAGCTAATGGGGGCACCTGGGAAACGAGGAAGACATTTGCGTATGGGTTTTCAGGGGTCATGCGCCGTTTGCGGCAAATAGATTCTAAAAAAATCGGAGGGGGAATAAGTTTTAAAAATGGTGCGGACTTTCCGCACTGTTCGCTTAAGCGGTTACGCCCCTGGGTACATCTGCCCGATCTCAGAAGCTAGATTTGGAGGTCATACTTGAAAGCAGCCAGCAGGACGAGGCAAAAGTTGGAGGCCCCTGAAAATAGGAGGCCCCCTGGAAAAGGAGGCCCCTTGACAGGGTGGCCCACCCACTTTTCATGACGTTCCTACGCCCGTGCCGGGGGGGGGGGGCAGTGGGGGCAGCTTCCCCCCCCCCCCCCAACTCTGGGGCCGTAGGGGTGGTGCCCCTACAGCTTTTAGACGGAATACCACACTTTTTTTTTTGCAAATGTTTTCTTTTTTGTTGAAAAAGCCAAGGGATGAAAAATAAGTGGCCTAAAACCGGTGAGAAAACTAGATTTGGGGGTACCCTAGGTTGATCTTTATCTGAAAGTAGTTCCCGCGCCCCTGCTCTGGGCACCCCCAACCATTTTCACAAATCGACACCCTTGCTCACTGCACCCGGCTACGGGGTGCGCTCCCTCGGGAGCAGCGGTGCCGCTCCAAGGGAGCAGCCCGCATGAGATAAAGTTGCCTGTCCAGCCCGGAGGGAGGTTGCGGCGTGGAGGAGACGGATTTCAGTATCCTGAGGATAGAAGCACGGAACGGTGATCTGCCTTCAATTGGTACCTATGTCCCTGGATAAATCTAACTCAGTCTTTGTGCAGGACCGCTAAGATATTCATACATGCAAGAACTTAAAATTCGGAAGAGATAAGTTACAGCTGTCTCGGGTCCGTGCGCTTAAGCCTGGGAAAATCCTCCCGTCCACCATCTTGGCCCCAGCGAGCATGCAAGAGCCAATCGCAAGCGTTCCGAAAAATATTTGCATATCTCGCTGGCGAGTCGTGAGGTGCCGCCACCTGCAGGCCGGGCCGCGAACTACCTCACTAGCGCCGCTCTGCGGCCGGTGGGGTAACTAGCCAGTCTGCCGGCGGCCGCCCGGCGCGTCACATGCGGGGGCTCCGAAGAAGCCTCCAGAGGGAGCGGGGGACGGGACGGGGGGCGGTACTCACCACACTCAGCCTGCTGCCAGGCCAGCGAGGCGCAGAGCAGCGCCAGCGTCTTCCCCGAGCCGGTGGGGCTCTCCAGCAGGCAGTTCTGACCGCGCTTCAGACCCTGCATTATCTGGGAACGGAGAGCGAGGGGAGGTGGACTGGATGATAGCCGGACAGCGGGGAGGTCGGACTCACCGGCCCACAGCCCGGCCCGCCGCACGGCCGGTTACACACCAAGGCCAACTAAGCCTCAGACCTCCAGAGGAAAGGCCGTGAAAACGCTCACTGTTTGATGTTGCTTGGATACATCCAAGCAGGTCGAAAGCATGGAATGCATTTTGGATAATGGGATTAGTAAAAATAGACAAATCGCCAAACCAAACAGCTTAACAAAATACCTAAATACTTTTAGCCAAATAATCGGGCATATCTTTAGTGTGATATAAGAACACCCCACGGTTCATGATAACTGGGATCCAGTCCCAGGTCAACGTTGCGTTCGCTAGTTAGTCGTTTACCGCTAAATAGGCGCTCTACTGGTTTACCCACTGCCCTTCCAATTTATCACATGTAGTAACACTGGTCCCTCCCATGACTGCAATCCCATACGGGAAGGCACTTCAACATTCAACACTCAACACTTTCCCATCGTGTTCTATCCACGCCACACTTTGCCCAATCAGTGCCACCTCTGCACCCGTCCATCAGTCGCCCGTCTGCTCATGTAGCCAGCAGAGCTAGGTAAGCGCCAATCAACCAGCTGGGCCCATTAGCGACCTGCTGGGCCAGTTTTAGGGGGTCGGCCGACATTCCATGGACTCCCAGTCGGCTCCTTGGCTGGTTCAAAGCAGACGACTGCCGAACAGTGTACGCACCGGGGAGACAACGACGCTCACACTCGTTTAAACCCACAGACACAGGGTCGACATGTGACCGACAATAGGACACACAGGACCGACTTAGGGCAGACAGGACAGACACGGGAGAGACACAGGACACGCACATGACGGGCATAAGATAGGCACAGGACCGATATATGTAGGGCAGACGGGACAGGCACGGGACAGGCACAGGACAGACAGGCATAGGGGAGACACAGGATAGACACAGGACAGACACAGGACCGGCACATTACAGATACTGGGCTGAGTGGGCAGTGGGCAGACACGGGACGGTCACCAAAATGCATCGGACAGGCACAGAGTAAGCCCAAGACAAAGGAGGTCGCCCAGAGGACACCATCCCACTTCCCAGCCCTGTCGCATCCAGACAGGGCGCTATCACCACCGTAGCAATAGAAAGAACCTTCCAAGCCGCACATATCTGTTGTCGAGACCGGTATCAAATCCACCTCCTCCCGTCTCATCGTTCCTCACCTTTGCCATCATGGCCATCTGGCAGGGGTAGGCGTTCTCGGGGAAGGCCACCTTCACTCCGCTGATTGTGTAGTCGCGGCCCATGGCGGCGGCCTGCGGACAGAGGGACGGGCAGAACGTCAGACATAGGCAGAACATCACATACAGACAGAATATCAAACACAGGCAGAGCATTCCACACAGACAGAACATCACACACAGACAGAACATCACACACATACAGAGCATTCCACACAGACAGAACATCACACACAGACAGCGACCACATCAGGCTACGTACATACGCTACAACCAGTGGCCAAAGCCCGTACGTGGACCGAAAGCGCCAGGTCAGGCTACGATTTTATGTCGATGAACGGGCGAAGACACCTACGAAGACACCTACGGGCGAAGACACAGATAGCGGGAGCCAAGCTACACGTCAATGTGGTGAAGTATGTTGACGGTTTACCGATCATGTACTTGAGAGTCCCTGACGGTCAGTCATTCGGTTACAGTGTCCCAAAATAACTATGCCGATTCGTGTGGTGAGTGACATCCAAATGAAAATCATTTTTCACTCTCACCTCAAATTTCAAGACCAATTTTCCCCTCTGACATCCAAGCAAAAACATACTGTTGGGACAATGTTATAAGAGATAAGGGCAGCAGTTGTGCTGTGGATGGATTCAGAGGGCTGCGTCCGCTTGGCGGACAGCAAAGTCCGCCAGAGGGACAGGAGCTAAACCGTTGCGCAGGGTGACCTACCGGCGACAAAAAGTTGCCTTCATTTCACCTTCGCGTGACTTTTGGATGATCGGGACCGATTTGGGGACGTTCTGGGTTAACCTTTAGATAAGCTTTGGGCGACCCAAAGGCGAAGTTGCTCATGACTAGGGGTTGCCTTGAGGCAGTGGCGTAGCCAGAAATCAGCGAAAGGGGGGGCCATGGTGCTCGAGGGGGCGACTTTTTCCCTTGAAAGGGGCGCCATTGTGAGCTAGTGACAGGGGGTCAGTCTAAAATGTAACGTCATATATTCATGCATGAATTACTAGGTGTTACTACGGAACCGGCACGAGTATCAGAACCAGGTTTCGCTGATTTTTCATAAAATCCAATTAATGCAATTTGCAGCCCAGTGTTTTTTTATCAAAAGCCTTTATCTTTATGCATATTTAGCACGATATAGGAAACGAGCTCAGGCTACGGACATGTTATTCTCAAAATACACACCCATTCGAATTCGAAACGGTAAAATATGCGTTGATCGCTAGGCACAATCTTTATTCTTTGCAAAAAAAAAAAACATACAGGTTCACTCACTGAACCAAAGTGACCTGTGGACTGCAGCCTCTGGTCGACCGGGGTGGCCGTGCTTAGAATCTCAGACACTCATGACTGCATGAGTGCCAGATGGGTGAGGCGTGAGACTGTCCCATATAGTGGCACGAAGGTTAAGAATGTCTTCGGCCGGCGTAGTATAGAAGACGACTTTTGATGATGTGAGTGTGCATGGTCAACTTTGAATAAGTGCCATAGAAACCTGCTGATCTCACCGAACATTCGCCTTGCGTAATCCCCAGACCAAATATCTTCATTGAGGGCCAGGTCAATTTGGCGACCTCTCTATAAGTACCTATAAGTTACCGATTACCTATAAGTTAACCCGCGCCGTGCTGGTGGCCTGTGCTTTCCGTGTCGTGCTGGGGGGGGGGGTTCACGTCCCCCCTCTAACTCGGCTCCTGGGCCACGTAGCGACACGCGGTAAGGGGAAATCGAAAGAGCGTCAAAAATAATGACGGAAAGACTTCGTATCAATTTTTAGGTCGGGACAAAGGTCAGGTCACCAGAGGTCATCAAAGGTAAAATTTAGTCCATTTCAACAATTTTGGAAACTGCCAACGGCTAACTCGGGAACCAATAGAGCTACAGCGCCACGGAAAAGCGCATTCGATAGCCCTTTTACAGGCTTTTCTGAATATTGCTCTCGGATTTGATCTCAGGTCAATGGTTTAGCCTCCAGAGGGCAAAAATTCCAAAAATAACAGTTTTTATGAAAAGAGTTTGTCTGCAATAACATTTGGTTCAAGACAGTGACGATATTTATTTTGCCTGCCTCGTGTTCCTCTCGTCGAGACGCTTCGAATGAACTATACGTTGACCTTGAAAGGTTATTTTAAAAATTTGACCGCAGGTCAAGGTCATGACCTGACCGGAAAGGGTCATTCTGCAGATCAGTCGATCCGTATCGTCGAGCTGACAACATCTGACGTGTTTTCACCGCTCTAGCACGTCTCTATCAAAAGTTGAAGCCAAAAAACCGTTTATGGTGATAAAATAGGTGACCGTTTATCACCTGAGATGACCTCAAGGGCACATAAAAGGACACAGGTGCATTTTTACGATTCAGTGTGTTATGTTTACCTATGAACCGATGTTTAAGGGGGTTTTAAACGACATTCGTCCAAAAGAGGCGCATTTCACTTTTCTCCCACTGACTTGAGGTCCCAAAATTGACCTGACCTTAGGTCACAGAAATAAAAAGTCCGAGATGAGCATTTTATGCATATTGTTAGTCTTATCAATCTCTAAAAGCTTCAAAAGTGATCGTTCAGTCGGTGTAGCTATAGCGGGTCTTTTAACTTTTTTTGAGGCAAGGTCACTTGACGTGCCCTAGTGACCTGACCTTGAACGACCCTCATCTGAAATTTAACAAGCTGTGTAGAAAAGATGTATGAACAGGTGTACCAAAGACAGCGCAGGCGCTGCGCGACGCCGTTTTCGAGATATTCGCGAGAAAAAACCTAAGGGGGGCGTAACCCCCCCCCCCCTTCCAGCACGGCGCGAATTAATGGGAGACAATCAAAATGCTCTTCTTCTGAACGAAAACAACCTCAACCATCGGGATGCAGGTTAATATGACACATTTAATCGGTAAATGTCACTCGTGATGTGACCACTTTTATGTTACTGAGGTCATCTCAGGTCATGAAAGGTCTCCAGTAGATTTTGGACAATAACTTTTGATAGAGGTATGATAGAGCAATGAAACACCCTATATAATTATTTTCCTTCTCGAAAATATGGATCGACTAATATGCAATATGACCTTTACCGGTTAGGTTATGACCTTTTCCTTAGGTCAAATTCTCAAATGCCCTTTTAATGTCAAATTCTAGTTCATTTGACTCGTCTGTCTCGAAAAGTGGAACACGATGCTGGATAAACTAATCTCGTGCAGGTCTGAGCCAAAAGGTATTACAGATAAACGTCCTCCGCGAAAACGTATATTTTGAGGCTAAAACGTTTACCTTAGGTCAAATATGAGATAATCAATAAGAGAGAGCATAAAAAGACCTATCGAATATGCGTTTTGCTGCGGCGCTGTAGCTCAATCTCTTTCTGAATCCTGACTTATGCGCCGCTTTGTCGAAAAATGTCAACATCGGCGAAATTTGATTTTCGGTTGTCGCTGGTGACCTGACCTTCGACCGGTTCGACCTAACCTTAAAATGATCTTAATAGTTTTGTAATAGTTTTTGACGCTCTTTCGAACGCCGCCTACTGCGTGTCTCGACGTGGCCCATGCAAGCTGAGTTAGAAGTGGGTGTTCAAACACCCCCAGCAGGTTCAATAAAAAAAAACGCTTACGCTGGGGGCGGCACCGCACTGCTAGGCGCTGTCGGCATCGCAATAATGGGCGGCACAGCGCTGAGGGGCGCCACTTGCATTGAGGGGTGGCATTGTACGGTGAAGGGGCAGCGTCGCGTTGAGGGGCGGTATCGCAACGAGGGTGGCACTTACAAGGCTGCCTAATAAGGAACGCTTGGCACATCCAAGCCCAGCTCGGCGCCGCCTAGCTGCTGCATCTTGAAAAGGGCCCTTAGTGTCGATGAGAAAGCCCCATTGTCAAATAATTGCCTAACGTCAGTGGTTTCGGGGGGGGGGGGCGCAATCAATCTTGAATGGGGCGGGGCGACCGAAGTATCCATTCAGTTTCGCGTCAGTGACTACTGGAGGGCGTCTGAACGACCTCGGATAGGGCGAATGTGATCTTCAGAAGGGAACCGGGTGCTCTAGAGGGGTGCAATGCTTGGATGGGGTCACTGCTGCATTCAGTAGGGCGTCGGACGCTCTAGAGGGGCGCCATTGATCTCGGATGGTCCGACTGGGATTTTCAGAGGAGCATCAGTGGTTTCAGAGGGACACCATTGATCAAGGATGGCCCGACTGAAGCCCCGGTTCAGGTGGGAGCCAGTGGCTCTTGAGGGGCACCAGCGACCTCGGATTGATGGGGCGACTGTGATCTTTAGAACGGCGTTGAGGGGCGCCATTGGGCATGGATGGGGCCACTGTTGCCTTCAGCAGGGCGCCGCAGGGAGGCTCTGGAGGGGCCTGACTTGGGTGGGCCGACTGTAGTCTCCAGGGGCGTTGTCTCGGATGGGGTGAATGTGATTTTCAGAGGGGTGCCGGGTAGTCTAGAAGGGCGCCATTGGTTTCAGAGGGCTGTCATCGATCTTAAGATGGGGCAGCTGTAACCTTCGTTTAGATGGCCGTGATCTTCAGAAGCGCGCTGGACGCTCTGGAGGGGCGTCATTGGGCTTGAATGGGGCGACTTTAGTCTCAAGCGGGACGACTTCAGTCTCAAGGGGGTGGGGCGCTAGTGGCTCTTGACGGCGCTATTGATCTCGGATAGGGCGACTGTGCTCTTGAGAAGAATGCGGGTGCTTTAGAGGGGCGCCAGCGGTTTCAGGGATCGATCTTGGATGGGTCGATTGGGGCAGCTGTGAACTTCAGAGGGGCGCCGGGTGCTCTAGAGGGGCGCCATCAAGCTTTAATGGGGCGACTGTTCCGTTTAGGTGGGTGCCAGCGGCTCTTCAGGGGCGCCATCGACCCTGGGGGTTCGGAATATTCTGGTTTCCGGAGGGGCGCCCTTGAACATTTGGGGGCTCAGGTCGTATTTGGGGGTGCCCTGGAGATTATTTAGGTGTCCAGGCACCCCAAAGAGATATTGAGTTCGATCCCTGCCTGCACATCACTTTTTAATTCATGTTCTCTCTGTAAAACGGCATCAGCCTAGTCGGCGCTAATTGGGGCGCCATTTGGGCGGCTGG